CAAAGGGCATGGATATTTTTATGCTTGTAAAGCTAGTTTCTTAAAATTTTTCCTAGCTAGAATGTGTGTGGATTTGTGTTTATTTCTAAAGTATGGGACATCTGAAGAGTGGAAATAGGTCAAATATTATAAGCCCATGCAATGTTTTTATATATTTTACAGAAGACTTTTATAATTTAATACTCTTTTCTTCAACAGTCATTACAAGAACACCTGAACTAACAACACTGTCATGTAATTAAATAATTACAGTCAAATGCCCCAAATGCTTCCCGTTTTAGTAGGAAATATATAAAATATACTGCACCCATGAAGTGAGATCATGATGTACAGTATTTTACGGTGTTTTTATTTGTGTTCATTCTTTCAGAAACCACCACATCGACCACCACAATCTCAACAAGTAATAATGCTGCAATTGATTGAAGACTCATCATATGACTATGCAATGTGTTTTTTATTGTTCTTTACAGAAGTGTTTTATAATTAAACACTGTTATTCTTTAACAGCCACTGCAGCAACAACTCCATGGACAGGTATTTTTTATCGACTTTTGAATTAATAGTGCATTTGTGTCGGAATTCAGACTTCTGAATTTGTGTTCATTGTCTCGTCAGCACCGGCAATATTTTATCCATTCGGCGCGGAGGCAGGAGACACTGAAATTCTTGAAAACGGTGGCGATACCTCATACCTTGTTGTCTTCTCCACCCCATTTACGTACTTTGGCCGCACATACAAGATCACATACGTGAGAATCCAGTTCTACTGCCAGTCTAATATGAATGCAAATGTTGTGATCCGCCAGTTCATAGTTTACTGCTGTATTTAAACTGATTTCTCTTATTTCAGGTTAATAATAACGGACTCCTTACATTTAGCCAAGCTATACCAGAAACAAACCCTTACCCTTTTCCCGCATATGGAGATGAAGATTACATTGCTCCGCTCTTGACTGACCTTGATGACCTTGGTATAGGTATATATTCGTATCAGGAGTACACCAGTGGAAGTGTTCTCACTCGCGCCACTCAGGATATAAACCAGTATTTCCCTGGAAGGGACTTCACTGCTTCTTGGGTCTTTGTTGCAACGTGGGACTATGTGCTTACAGGGGATATGAATGTATTTAATCAACACTCAGGCCCGGTAAATAGTTTCTTTCTTTCTTTTTTCAGGGACAAGATTGAAGGCTGTATAAACTATGAATCTTGATGTTGTTTCTTTTCTTTTCAGGCAATCACCGTTCAAGCGGTTTTAATTTCAGATGGTGGTTTTTCTTTCATTCTGATACATTACGGTGACTGTGCTGCGATACCAACTGCAGTGGGGGTAAAACAAATATTACAGTATTGAAATAACGATTTACTAGCTCTGCATGTAATAACATTTGATTGATTTTAATAGGCTGGATATGACACAATAGACTCCACTGACTACTATCAAATTCATTATGATCCAAATGGTGGCTACTCCATCCCAATCCTCAAGAACACGACTAACGTAGGTGTTCCGGGGCGTTGGGCCTTTCTTGTGAACAACAGACCAGGTAGGACTTTAATCAAAATTATGTGTTAAATTAGGCCTGTCGCAATAATCAATATATCGACTTATCGCACAATATATGTACATGACCTCAATAATTTTTGGTGATGCAATATATTGCCCATTATATTTACATAAAAATTAATGTCACCATGTTTTTTGCATTCCACTTGCGCCTGTGACTTTTGCAGCTTCTCGTGCATAACGTGGTGTAGTCTGTGCTAGTTCAAATTTAAAAAATGCTTCTACAAAATTTTCATCTGCAGATATGGCCTTGTTTAGGGATCTGTGCCTTTGTGCATACGGACATCTGACTGCTAAGTAGGGATTGTGTTTTTCAGCAATACAGTGCACCCTTAATTTACAGAGAAAAGAATGTCCGGGAAAAATCTGTAGATGGAAAAATCTCCATACAAGTTATTTGTGAATTTTTCTTATTTTTTAAGGTATCTAAAATTTTGATACTTGATTTCCATGATCTAAATATTCCTAAGAATTAAAAGTTTGTTGTCATTTGAAAGGGTGTTGGCCTTCTTGCATTATTATGCTTTTATATTATGATTATATATTCAGTGGCATAAAATGGTCTTAAAATGACAATAATATTGTTTATCGCAATTATTTGTGGGGCAATATATTGCACAACAAAAAGTTGTTATCGTGACAGGCCTAGTTACCATTATCAGTTTGTTTATATCATGTTAGAATGTCTTTTTATGTGTGTGTGTCCTTTTAGAAACCGTCATAGGATTTCAAATGAAACTTCAGTCCTTTTCAGACCTAACACAGAGTGGAAACATTGATGCTGTTTTGCAGAAAGTAAGTCACACTTTTCATAACTACAGTCATTTGGAAGTCGTTGGAAGCCCTTTTCTGTCTTAGAGGGAACTTAGAATCTTACATATTTGAATTTGTGACTTTCTCACAATGGCCTTTTCTATTTATTACTCTGGGAAATTTTACCAGTAACTATAACCAGTAGAGTAGAATGGAAATAAAACACATTTTGATCGGTTTGTCCATCTTTGTTTCAGATAAAACAAGAGCTGATCAATCATGGAGTGTCAAGTAACTTTGAGCTAAAGTTAAGAAAAGTCAAAAAGACATAGATGTAATACATGGATGGGAATTAAAACTCTCAATGCCGTTGCCATTGAAGATGTAGAAAAAACTGATGTAGATGTAGAAACGAGAGGAATGTCACTCCACATGAAGGGACCCTTTGTTTTCTCACCCTTCAACGTCATCAATTTTTTTAACACATTAATCACTGATGCACAAACATGATTCAGCACAAATAATGAAATGATGTATAAAATGAATTATATACCATGTTCATTTAGCTTGAATAATCATTGATTTTGCTTTTTTGTCCCACCTCCTGAAGAGTTACAGGGGTTTTATCTAATCAAACTGATCTGTAGTATGTGAACAATGAAATTAAACCTGTTCTTCATCTACTTCTCCATTTACTAGAAGCATTACTCATCCAAAATTCCTTCACGTAATCTACTTACTCTGAAAATTGTTACCAGTACTTTAGTACAGCAGTTTTCAGCTGGTTTTACACAGATGGCAACATAACGTGCAAACCCCTCATATTTAATGTAGTCTGGGTCATCATTTTAAAGTTTAGTTTTTGAGGATGAATGCATGTCATACAACCTGTTTATGTTGGCACCTGTTTAATTTGTCTTTCTTCTGCTAAGTTAAAGATGGTTTGATGCCAAAATAGTGTAGAGTTTGATCTGATGCCCAGCCTTTGACGTCAATTACAAACAATACAGGAAGCTTTTTCTCCTTTCTTTTTCAAAGTTCTGCTGTCATGTTCAAAACTGCTTTCATTATCACACATAAATGATACGCTCCAAACACTCCCAAGATATTTACACTTGGGTTCATGAGACAGGCTTAATAAATATGTAATCAGTAGTGAAGTATTTTCATACAGAACATATTACTTGGTAGATTTGTTTGTATATCTTGCTGCATGCTATATATATATTATATATATAGGACAGGATATGAGACCAATTGTGACAGTGAAGAGTTTTGAGAACATTTACCTGTGTGTTTGTGTAGTAGAACACATGAAGAAACTTGATTTGGCTTGGCATAACAAATGCTTTTTTTTTCCAGCTGACTAACAACAAAAAACAATGACAGCCAATTAAAATCGAGTTCTGAGCAGTGTAGAGTAGCGCTTGTTGTTTGTCATTTCTCCGATCACAAATGCAGACATGGTTTTATGTTTACGCGGCGCGATGCAACGCAACGCATAAAATTTTTTTTAAATCCGTAATTATGTCCCCACTGGATGCCTCGTTTATAATAGGTTTTATTGTTTTTGTCTCGTTGCTCCGGGATACGGCATCACAATATGGTAAGGGGCATAACATTTCCGTCACACGCTTGAGGAATTCGGCCAATCACAACGCACTGGATAGCTGGCCAATCAGAGCACACCTCGCTTTTCAGAACGATGAGCTTTGTAAAAATCGATGCGTTTCAGAAAGTTGGGGCATAGAGGAGAAGCAATAATGTACAGTATGTGGAAAATAATGTTTTTTTTTAACCTTAAACTACATAAACACATTTCATTACACCAAATACACCAAATAATGTTCTTTTTTAGCAACATCATATGACCCCTTTAAGATGTCTTAATGATGGATTTATTTGCAACTTTGTACTTCACAAGATGTTAATTGATGGACTGGAATCATGTGGACTCTCATTCTTACGACACCCATTCACTGCAGAGGATCCGCTGGTGAGCAAGAAAGACTGTTTCATACATCAACAAAATTCTCCTACAGCAGTTACATTGTGCAAGAGTGCATAAGACTGTTTTTCTTTGCAAATTACAGCATGATCTTTATGGTTTCTTGATTTAATCTAGCACAAGGAATTCACCCATTCACAATTTTAATGGGATGAGCTCTTGACAAAAGAAAAAACAAAAACAAACAAAATAGAAGTCAATGGAGACTCTTTGTTGTTTAGCTTGAACATTGAGTTTTGTGAGTATTGTGAAAAGTTCAGTTGTTGTTCGCCTGAATGCATTTGACATGCATTCCCTGAACATGTCCCTCCCTTTGGTGCTATGATAATTAGGGCCAGATTTTAACCTACAGCAAGTGCAAGAACGTACTCCATATGAAGCCGTCTGAAGTAAGTACTATCTAGCTTTTTGTCTATATGGTTTGTTTTGGTAACTTATTTTCTGATGATATGTATATCAGGGTTCCTACACGGTTTGGAAAAGCATGGAAATCTGATTTGAGTAATTTCCAGGTCTTGAAACGTATGAAAAAAAAGAAAGCAGAGCATGGAAAAATATTTGAATTTCCAGACTTTTGCGTGTTAAAGCAGACCTAAGGCCTTAAAAATGTGATGTACTGCCCTAACAAAAGGAAACTTTTGAACACTTTTTTTTAACAGTACCAGTCTTTTTTTATAGACCCTTGAACTTGGCAAATAGGACAATGCACACAGCCGTATTGTGCCATCAGCCCATTTCGTGCTACGGTTTCTCCGTTACCATATGGGATGTGTTAAATTGGACATTAGGCCTTGATATTAGAGGTACTACCCTAAGGAAAGCCAAATTTTGAGCAAATAGAGCTCTATTAATTAATGTGCAATTTTATTAGTATGATTCACGAGTCCACACTTACATAATCGGACTGAGCAAATAGTAAGTATATTTGGCGTGCTGTCCTGACGGAGAGCTCCGAGCCCGGAATATAGCCAGAACCTAGAGAACCCCCATCCCTGTCTGGGATGAGAATAGTTAAAAGTGAGGAGTTGGATATATATATATATATATATATATATATACACGTATCGTGCTAGTTAAGTTCATTATCTAGACGAGCTCCACCTGTGCTGAATTGATTGATTATCTGAACATGCTCCTCCCGAACCTTGTTAATAAAACATCAATTGTGGCAGTGACGCAGAAATGAAATAGGTTATATATAAAACTAAACATTGTAATTTGTAAGCATGCTAAAAATTCCAGTGTGCATTTGAGTATTTCCTCGAGGGCACAAAAAGTATCTTGTGTGCATGCAAAAGTCTGTTTTTTTTTTATTTTTTATGTGCTCTGTGTTGTCACTTAGAGAAAATCAATGAAAAAAGAACCTTAGAAAATAAAAGTATTTACAGATGACTGTACTACAGTATCTACCAAATGTAAAGCTGGAAAATAATACTTTATGGACCATTTATATTAAACATGGTCTGAAAATCTACTGAGAGGGTTGGACATTTGAATCTGGAAAAGTATGAGATTTTGAAATTAAAAATGTGTAGGAACCCTGTAATATGATATTGTCTTTTTTTAATCTGAAGAGACAAGTGTTCATATAACTTTTAAATCAAAATAAGTATTAAGATGGCTTTGTTCTCTTGTGCTCGCTTGTGTTCTAGTTGCTCTGTATGAATTTATAGCAGTGGCATTCTGGTATCTCTGACCTCATCCAAATATTTATTGTGAGAATGTCTCCAGTTTCACATTATCTGCTGGTGTTCATATCAGTCCTGTCACTGAGTGAGTTTTAACATCCATTTGAATAATGTCCTTCATTATATAGCAAAGACATTATACTTTCTATATGGAATCGTATTCAAATGTAGTCTTTTTCTTCAACAGGCAGGGTAACAGAGGCACAGACAGGTAATCGTTGACCTTAGAACTAGAACATATAAGTCCAAATGAACTGTTTGAAGCTTGAAAAATGTAAATTTTTACTTGCAGCGCCGGTGATATTCTATCCATTCGGCTCAGTGGCAGGAGACACTCTTAATATTGCCGTTGAGGATGAAAACTCCACGCTTATCAACCTGTGGAGTCCTTTTGTGTTCTTCGGGCGCACGTACAACAGGACATTTGTGAGAATCTAGTTCTGTTAATACAAATGGTGAATGATTCAAATGTGGCATGGACAACTAATATCTTTTATTACCTAGGTTAACAATAACGGACACCTTACATTCAACCAGTCTTCATCACAGTTTATTTCTCATTACTTTCCCATCAATGGAAGGGAAGACATCATTGCTCCCCTCTGGACCGACATTGATGTCAGTATGAATGGCATAATCTCATATCAGCAGTATTCAACCGGGAGTGTTCTCACTCGTGCCACTCAGGATATAAACCAGTACTTCCCTGGTCTGAGCTTCACGGCTATTTGGGTCCTTGTTGCAACTTGGGATAGAGTTGCATACTTTTACCACACTGGCACGGTGAGTTAGTTTGTCATAACTCCTCCAGGCTCAAGGTTACAAATGTGATATTTCCAGAGATGCATGACAATCAATGTTCCCCAACTTTGCAGGAAACATCGTTTCAAGTGGTTTTGATTTCGGGCAGTGATTTGTCTTTTATTCTCATGAATTATGGTGACTGTGCTGTGGCATATAATATTGTGCAGGTAAGACAAGACTTCTGTATCAGTGGAACAAATATAACTTGATAATTTCTCTCAATAATTTGTGTTTTCCTTGTTTGTACAGGCTGGTTATGACACAATAAACTCCACGGCCTACTTTAAGATTCCTGGGTCAGACAATGGGAGCTTTACTCCAAACCTCAAGAACTCCACCAATGTCAATGTTCCAGGCCGATGGGCCTTCAGGGTGGATGGTGGACCAGATCAAAACAATCTACAAGGTACACAATTAATTTGTAGTTAGGTGTGGCATAATAACAAGGTTCCTGTTGCTCAGCATGCACTACAATGCCAAAGTCACTGGTTCAGTTTCCAGAGAACATGCATGTTACTGCAAGAATTTATATCTTGAATTCCTTTGTATAAAAGCGTCTGCCAAATGCTACAATGCAACCAGATGCCAAATGTACCCAGAAACAAGCAAACAAACGTTTTAATAGTTTCACCCTCAGGCCATACAAGAGTTTGTTTCTTCATCAGATTTGGAGAAATGTAGCATTACATCACTTGCTCACCAATGGATGCTCTGCAGTGAATGGGTGCCGTCAGAATGAGAGTCCAAACAGCTGATAAAAACATCACAATATCCTGGCCCCCCCACAAGCTACGCCTATGGGTGGGGTGTCTATATATACACTACAATTTATAAGTTTAATATAAGTTTCGATTGCTGTATTAAATTTAGACCTGCTCATGTTACATCATATTTTATTTTTACGCGTTTTTACAGCGTTGCAATCACACACGATTCTGTTGGGTTTAGGAATGCATTAGCCAATCAGAGGCGTTCAGGTCAGACATCGCTGAAACCCCAGAGTTTTGTTCAGACTGAAACTCGCGAATTCCAAACAGCTGATAAAAACATCACAATAATCCACACCACTCCAGTACAAATAAGGTCTTGTGAAGTGAAAAGCTGCGCGTTTGTGAGAAACAAATCCATCATTAAGGTGTTTTAACTTTACACTGTTGCTTCTGAACGGTTCCAAAAGGTGCTTGATCTGTGCATATTTCTCTTCTGATTCAATTGGAGAAAGTAATATTTTGGATGGAGGACTTTGAAGACTAACCAGAAGCAATGGTTTGAAGTTAAAACACAGCATAATGATGGATTTGTTTCATACAAACATGCAACTTTTCGCTTTACAAGATGTTAACTGATGGACTGGAGTCGTGTGGATTACTTGTGATGTTTTTATCAGCTGTTTGGACTCTCATTCTGACGGCACCCATTCACTGCAGAGGAGCCATTGGTGAGCAAGTGATGGAATGCTACATTTCTCAAAATCTGTTCCAATGAAAACAAATTCTACACCTTGGATGCCCTGAGGGTGAGTAAATTGTAAGCAAATTTTCATTTTTGAGTAAACTGTTGGGTTTAGGAATGCATTAGCCAATCAGAGGCGTTCAGGTCAGACATCGCTGAAACCCCAGAGTTTTGTTCAGACTGAAACTCGCGAATTTCCTCATCATAAGCAACAAAGTGCAGATGTACGAACGATGTAAGTTAGAGATTCATTTATCATACCGAGTATGGACAGCTTCATTGGTTATAAGAGGACTTATGAATGTTTAAACACTAGCTAGACTGACTGTTCTCATTTAGTGTGTTCTTTCACTGCATGATTCAGTCTAATAAAATGCATTTAGAATGCAAAATCTGTTCCAATGAAAACAAATTCTACACCTTGGATGCCCTGAGGGTGAGTAAATTGTAAGCAAATTTTCATTTTTGAGTAAACTATTCATGTGATTAATTAAACATACTGTTTATGTGTGCATTGTTTCTCTTAGAAAATATAATAGGAGTTCAAATGAGAGTTACTTCATTTTCAGACCTAAGAGAGAGTGCAAACATTGAGACTGTTTTAGAGAAAGTAAGTTGCATTTGCTACAGAACATAGTATGTTGTTATGCAAATTATGGTGCTAATAGACATTCTGATCTTTCTGTCCATCTTTATTTTAGCTACAACAGGAGCTGATCAAGTACGGTCTGCCAAACAGCGTCAAACTGAACTTAAGAATGGTGCAAAAGACACAGCCGTAATATCAGCCTCATACAAGGAAAGAAATTCTAACAGAGACCTGTTCATTAAATCTCTGGCATCAAATATACCTACCATTAAAATCTTAACTTACAGGGAAGCAAGAAAACAACAATAAAAAAAATAAAAAAAACAGATCGAACATGTGAAAACCGGCGTCTGCAGGAATGTCACTCTACAGGAGGGCGAACATTCATGTGTTCTCAAATGCAAATGACGTGTAGCAGGAGTTTAACCTAGATAACCTAGAGTATAGGCCTATGAATAACTGAAGTAAACCTGTTCTTCCTCTATGGCTCCATTCGCTAGAAAATTATAATATTTACTGTAATATCAACCTTTCTTGATGAGATATTGAAGCAAGAAGCAGTTTAGCTGTTATATAGTGAAGCATTTTGCTATTCAGCTTTAGCTTTGAATTTTCTCCTCGGAAAAGGTTGATGTTACATCCTGAGGTGTGTGGTAACTGTAAATTAAAAATGTCTATAATGTGATTTTAATGAATATAAAATATAATGTATATGTTCTCACCATGAGGAGACGGACGCATATTGAGAGTTAGTGAGATACTTACACTGTAAAGATTGTCCATAAAATACTATTCCAGTCTTTTTACTTCAAAATGTCATACTTAATTCAGAGTCACTGACTGTTTCTTTATAATTAGTTGTGAGATTTGTTTCTACACCAATTTTTTTTTCTTCAGTGTACATGAAATGCTAAAACTTTGCAATACAACCAATTGTTTGTGATTTTATTAGATTAGGAAAGGAGATTCTTTATCTTCTAGTGGTAATATTATGGGCTCAGTTTAAACTTAAACCGTTTAAACTATTATCTGATTACACACACAGGCCTTTTTAATTCAGAAATCGCTGACATGGCTCAAGAGTGACATTGCCAGTGTTAATAGGCCTACTGTACACACAAAAAAGCCCACATACGAGGCTGTTTCAGTACATGCTGAGTGGTCTGTTGGGTAAATTGAATCACACGATATGTCTTTTTACATTTTTTTTATTAAAACACTACCTACACTCAAATACACCTCGTTTTTAAGTTACAATGTAAACAAGCATGGAGAAGCATTTTATTTCCGTGCTCATGTCAAGGTTTTAGGTTGGTGGTGAGATCTCAATTTGTTTAAATATTTCCCCATATATCTGTACTTTTATTACAGTGACGGAGAAAGTGTCACTGTCTCAACCTAAGCGATAGATATCATATCACAGTGAGATTTCCGTATCAAAGATCATGATAAAGTCATGTCTCCATCTGCTGGTCAGACTTTAGAAACACATAAGATTACATACTGTCCTATTCTTACCCTATTTCATGCGTTCATGTAATATATATATTTTTTAATAAATCTTTATATATTTTATATTTTTCAGTATTTTATTATTTTAGTTAATCGTTTAGCATAATGTTCACAATTTACCTTACTTAATTTAAAAATACATACATACATTTACATTTTTATACATTCATTTTTTTTCACGCTATGCTAGACTATTTAATTGCAGGTAGTCATGCTAACGTAAGAACCGTTTTTTCTTTACCTTTTTCTTCTTCCTCTTCTTTTTCATTCATTTATTTATTTTTTTGTCAAGAGAAATATTCACTGTAAATTGTGTGGCAACCAGTATCATAGATTATGGAAAAGGTTATGCATGACTACTCAACATCCCATCCAGCAATAGTAAAAAAAAAATACACAAGAATATGTATTCGTAAAAATCAAGAAAAAAATCAAGGCTCATAGAAAAAGTGTTATTTCCTTTAAAAGCAGTATTCGAATTGGGTGGGGGTGGGGTCATAGGCGTTCCCAAAATTCAAGATATAGGGGCAAAAAAATTATATATATACATCATTTCAAATAGCTAATCATTATCACACAAAGAGTGCCCTTTTTTCCGCAAAAATCACAAATTTGACATTGATTTTATACAACAGTTCAATAAACAAGAAGTTAATATTAAGATACTTATGTTTTAGACACCATATTGCCTACTTTTGCTCTATTTTGCCAACAAAAATGGTTCCAAACAAAGCCACAGCACTGTTTTGCGTCTGGTGTTTCGTTCCTGAATGAATCAACTGTTTAAATGATTCGGTTCAATCGCAATGACTCACTTATTAACAGTGACTTGCTGCCACCTACTGGCGGTTTTAATTTCACATTTAAAGTACCTTCTCATTTTTTAAAAACAATTTCAAATATCAGTATTAACGTTTTAGGATTAAAATATCAAAACATTATTTATGCATTTGTAACTGCAGATTAAATGCATCCATGTCTTGCATTAAACAGTGTGTATATGCATCTAAATGCCACTTCAGATGCAGCTTCTGAATTTTGTTGGTAATGATTTTATTTGTTTGGTAACAGCCCCAAATGTCGTATTATTGTAAATTACTTTATTGATTAAATGTAGCCTAAGAATTTTACACAGTTTGACACAATTGGACAAAGAAAAAAATATGGCTTTACAAAGGTAAAAAGTGCCCATAAAGGGTAAAAATAATTTTAAACTTGTTGGAAAATATAAATTTCTGTCACTGCTGTGAACTGACCACCACACAGAGTCAGCTGTCCATGGCAGTGCTGCAGCGCAACACACTCAGCAAAATATCGTCTGATTATCATTATCAATAAAATCCCAGAAAAATATGGCACACCCCTAGGCTAGATATTTAATTCTTCTTTGCTTAGTGATTGTTTGGTACACCTAATTCACTGATCATCGTAAAATAAACTTTTATCTAGGTTTTCTCAACGATAAAAAGGACAAGACAAAAAAAAAAGAATAATATTTAGGCTATATAAGGTTGTTTTTTTTGTTTTAGTTTTTTTGAAGGGGGCGTGGGGGGGGGTCTGGTTTTTGGGGACCCCCCCAAGAGGTTTGACACAATTCGAACACTGTTTAAAAGCATTATTTTTCCTTTGGGCGAGAAAAATAAATCATAATAATTCGAATATTTTTTTTTACTAAATATAATTAATATGGAACTTTACATACATAGGCCT